ACAGACTTCAATTCTGAACTGTACTTGTAAGAACAGTGCACTGAACTACTTTCAGTGGTATCGACAATACCCTGGTCAAGGCCCTGAATTTTTGATAGACATATATTCACATAAGGATGAAGAAGAGAAAGGAAGATACAAAGTTTCCTTAAACAAAACTGACAAAAAAACTGACAGATCTTTGTCACTGCACATAATGTCTTTGGAGCCTGGAGACTCAGCCACCTACTTGTGTGCAGCAAGTGCACAGTGCTCTCCAGACACCTGAAGCCTGTACCCAAACCTGCAGCTGAAGATCCAGCCAGACCCGCCATGTAGACAAAACAGTCACACACACACACACACACACACACACACACACACACACACACACAATGCTTGTTCATTAAAAATGTTTTAATCCATTTTAAAGAACTAAAATTTGAAATTATACAGAATATTCTCTGATCATATGGACTTGACTTAAAAAATCAGTTGCAAAAAGATGCTTCTAAAAACTTTCAAATCAGAACTTAAACAACAAACTTTAAAATAGCCCATAGGTGAAGGAGGCACTTGCAATGACTATTAGAAAAGATTTTGAAAGAAAATGTAATGAAAAAATACACATATGTATGTATGGATGCAGCCAAAATAATACATAGAAGAAAATTCATGTATTTATGCTAAAGAAGAAAGGTTTAAAAAGAATCATCTAAACTATAAACAAAAGAGAAAAATAAAATCAACATTTTGAACCCCAAGAAAATTAGTCAGGAAACAATAAAAAATTTCAACTTAGTGAAACACAAACAACAGGCATAATCATTAATTACAAAGTCAATTTTCTTAAATGATAAATAAATATATTTCTAGTTAGAGTAAAGAGGATGAAAACACTCATTTATAAATACAAGGCATGAGAAATAAAACTGCAGTGAGATTCTACAACTTTAAGAAAATAATAGAATGTCTTAATCATTTTATGTCACTGAGTCAGCACATAGAAGTAGACCCAAACAAGTGTCGACTACTGATTTTTTGATAAAGATGCAAAGGCAATTCAATGGAGGAGAGATAGTCTTATCAACAAATGTTGGGACAATGAATACTCGTTGACATAAATATTGCAACACACAATATTTGAGAACAGGCTTAAAATGAATAATACATCCAAGAGTAGCATATAAAACTTTAAATCTTTTAAAGAAAAAATGGGGCACAGGTCTTCACCTAGGTTAAGCAAAGAGATTTTTCACATAACTCCAAAATACAATCCATAATAAATAAATAATTTTTATAAAAATGATACATGTTAAATAAGTCTTTGAAAATATTGTTGAGAGAATGAAAAAGACAAAACACAGGTTGACAGGAAATGTCTGCATATACATTTCTATCAAAGGACTGTTATACAGAATATAAAGAATTCTTAAACTTCACAGGGAGAGAACAAATATTCCAATTTAAAAGTAAATAAAGGGGGCCTCCCCGGTGGCGCAGCGGTTGAGCTCTGGGTTGCGAAGCTGCCCGCAGCCTCTGCAACGCCGGTTCGATCCCCGGCTGCTCCCGGGCCACTGGAGGAGGGTCCCACATGGCGCGCAGACCTCTCCTGCCACCCGCTGCTCCCCTCAGCAGTGTACTTCGGTCCTTCTGCCTGCTCTGCTCCCCACTCTGGCTCTGGTGAATTCTCTCGCCCTCCCGCGCTTCTGACTGTACCCAGTGCATGTTTAAACAAAACGAACAAACAAATAAATAAATAAATAAAACATGCCTCTATAAAAAAAAAAAAAATACAAAAAAAAAAATAAAAGTAAATAAAGGATTTACACATTGGGTATGTGATAGGGCCTCCCTGGTGGCACAGGGGTTAAAGACACAGTGCTATCAAGTTATCACCAGCCACTGCACCATGAGTTCGATCCCCAGCTAGGGAGTTAATCCACATGGTGCTGCAGGTGTCTCCTGTCTCACCACTGCTCCCCTCAACAGTGTATTTCAGTAGATCCACCTGTTCTGCATCTCACTCTGTCTCTGGTGAATCCTCTCACACACACCCCACACCTCTGGCCTACACCCCAGTTCTTGTATGCATAAATAAATAAATCTTAAAAAGAAAGAGGGTATGTGGAAGATAAATAAGCATATAAATGAGCATAGAAGAAAATGTACAACATCATGAGCCATTTGGGAAATGCAAACTAACGTCACAATGGGAGACCACCCCACATCTATGAGTATGGCTAAAATAAAAAAATACTTGACAATACCAAGTTTGTGGTAATTTGTTAGGAAAATAATAAAAGCAATAAGAAAAATTTAAAAGCAGACATATCTAGAGATACAGAAATATTAGGAAATGTTATGTAAGAGTTGAACAATAAAATTTTAAACTCTAGGAAAAGTAATAATTTGATAAAACATATATTACCAATAGCAGCTCAAGAATAAAGAGAAAAACCAAATAGGTCCATAATCAATATAGCAATTTGACGATTACAAGTAAAACTCCTAGAGAATAAATAAAACAAACAAGAGGAAATTTTAATCTGCATATATGCCCCACAATAAAATTAAAAATAAGATATGTAGAAGGAAATATTTGTAAACCATATAACCAAGAAAATATTAGAAATTAAAGTTAGAAAAGAAACTCTTAGAAATAAGAACATTAGAAGTAAACACATAAGGATATAGGAGGAAATTCAAAGCAGAAACATGCCTGGCCAGTAAACATTCAAAACATCAACTTCTAAAACAATCAGAGGAAATTACATGAAAAGATAGATTTCATTTCTATAAGATGAATGAAAATTTAAAAGCCTAATAACATTAACTACTAACAAGAATGGGATGTGTGAGGATTAGTATAGTTTTCCATTTGGAGAAAAGAAACTATAGAGAGAAGAATTTATTCAACTACTTAGGAGAAAAATTTACTTAAAATAGTAGATATGTATATCTAAAATTCCACCATTTCCAATTCCTGAATCCACATTAAATTTCAAACTTTTGAACAGGGAGCCATTTAAAGGACATTCATTATAACATTGTTAAAATATAACTAATCAGTAATGAAATGGACAATGGATTATTTATAGTGTGGAAAAACAACATAGCTGTTAGAAACAAAGATAGTTTCATACTTATATTTTAAAATGAATTTTAAAAATAAAATCTGCATGCAAAAAATCAGAATAAGTACATTTTGAGTAACATTTTATAAGTGAGAAATCTCAAAATTTTGTACAAACACAATATAATATTCTGCTTTGTGATACAGATCTAGAAGGCTTAAATTTTAAAACACATTAATAGAATCATTCCAGAAATGGTTACTACTTTAAAAACAGAAGTTAACAATCATTGTTGTTGGTTTTTTTTTCCTCTCTATAATACTATCAGAGAATGAGGGAAAGTAGGATTGAGGGAGGCAAGGAAGGATATATTTGTGGAAAACATAGCAAAATTAAGTATCTTAGTTACAAAATTTGCAATCCAGGGCATCAGCTGTCTGTTGCACTCAAGGTGAAGTGGGCCAGAGTGGGTGTCTCAACTAACTAGTACTCTCTCCTTGCACACCCAGCCACGACTTATTGGGACCTGTACCAAAGAATGGTCACAGTTTCAGAGACCCTGTCTCTACTTTCTTTTCCAGTTGTCTATTTGCCTTTTGGATCTTTGACATTAATCCATCCACTGAAAAAATGAAGATTGACAGCTGCATAGCTGGTGATCATGCAAAAGTATGCAAGTTTAGCTGCAACGTGGGTGGGACTGACATGTACTAAGCGTGTGCAACTTTTAGATACTACATTCTATCGGTGTGGAGTATAGATAGCACTGTGCCACGGAGAAATCTAGCAAGTTTATCTGATATGATTATACTGAAATGGAAAATGTCAGGCTGACCTGTTGATTAGCTGAAATTGGGACATAGCCTGTAGACTGAAAGTTTCAGGAAACAGCTGATAAGCACCCTCAAGGCTTCATGCTCCCTCATTCATCCAATCCCAGATGACTGTACCACTTGCCTTAGTCAATAAATATTCTGTAACCTAGTTGCTTGGGGTTCAGATTTTGGGCCCCACGGTGTAACCCCTGCGTAAACAAAAACTTTCCTCCTCTCTGAATGCTGCTTGCTTCCCTGCTGGAATTCTACTGTAACAGTACAAATTAAAAAAAAAAAAGAACTCAGCCACAGAATTTAACTACTGAGTCTGAGAAATTCTGCCCAATGGGATAAAAAATATGACATGAGGACCGGTCAGGGGCATATGACCTAATCACTGCAATTGACTGTGCAAAAATAGTAGTGAGCACCCCAACCCTTTTCAGAATCTATTAAGTAAACTCAATGTCAGATTTCAAGAGATAATGTGTTATTCCTGTTATAATTTCATAAACACATAACCAACTGAATAGTTTTGAAAATCAGAAATACTGAATTTATATCATTTGGTTTTGAAATATGTTCATTTATTATAAAACTTAAGCAGAGTCCTAGGCCTAGTAAGTAGGAAGAAAGAGAGGTACTAGTAACCTTCACTGAGAAAGCCACTAACTGAATTTTTTTAGATTTCATTAGATTCTGGATGGAGAAAAATAAGCACAAGTTAAACAACCAACCATTAAATACATGGAGGGGCAAAATCTATAACATCCCATTGTAAATCAACCTCAAAAATTTTCCACTGAAAATTATTAATGAATGTCAAATAAATAATTCAGTCTTCATTTCCCCCTTGATCTTACCTGAAATAGGAATGGTTTTTTTCATGCTCGACTTTACCTATTGCTTCATCTAATTATCAGGAACAGACAAATAGACAAAGTCAAAATTTGGGATGAGCCACTCTTCTCTCATCTTTGCAGGTGGGCAATGCAATATGAGAAACCCTGTTTCCTGTGTGGGGAGCACATCACCCTCAGGAACTACATAAACACTCTTCTAGGCTCTCAGACACTGAGCTCTCAGCTGGAGGCACAACTGCACACACGTGTCAGGGCACACATGCCCCATGGCGCCCTCCAGCCTGCTGTGGGCCCTGGTGGCCTTCACCTGCTCTGGTAGGCCCGGGGCCAGGTGGGGGTGGGAGGATGGGAGGACAGCACCAGGCACAGGGTGCTTGCATGGATGAGGGGGAAGGAGGCCTAGGGAAAAGCAAGTATATGTTGATTTCAATGTGCTTTATGTTTGGGCATAAAATTAGTCTAATTCTTAAAATACCTTATTCACTGCATCACTTGTGTTTTCTGATTTTCCCCAAAGGAACCGTTGTTTCCCAGAAAGTTATTCAAGACCAGCCAGCTATAGCCAAAAGAGAGGGGTTGGAAGTCACTCTGAGGTGTCAGTATCAAACAAGCCAGACTGGCTACGTCCTTTATTGGTACAAGCAACTTCCCGATGGAAAGATGACTTTCCTTGCTTATCAGTCTTCTTCTTCTCAAAAGAATGCTGTAGACCGTCGCTATACTACAAACCTCCAGAAAACAGAAAAAACCATCTCCCTCATCATTTCACCTTTGCAACTGGAAGATTCAGCCAAGTATTTCTGTGCTCTCAGAGATGCACTGTGTTTGAAGTGATAGTAAAACCTGAACAAAAACCCTGAGCTCGAGAAGGGTGCGATCTCTGCTCAGGAGCCAAGCTGAAGTCACACCTGCACACCCAGACAGGCGATGGCAGTGATGTGGCTGCTTCTTCTGTGGTCTGGATCGGGGGTGACTTCTGAGTAAAAGCTCCTTCTATGTCATTAGGAAACAGGTGTCCAGAGTAACTTTCTTCTAATACATTCTCAGTCTTGACTTTTTGACTTGGAGCAATAATACAGTGTATTGTTGCCAAACCTTGAAAAATTTTGATCCATAATCATTTCAAGTACCAGCTACACTTAAAGATTTTCATATCACAAGCTGAGTCTAGTCATCTGGAATCATCATGAAATCATAAAAATCATTTCCGGAGTTTTTCCTCTTAGGCTTTGTGTCAACCAAGGTACAATCAGAGAAGCAGAACCACCATGCGTGATATACAATAAGAGATTAATTACAAGGATTTGACTTCATGTCATTGCTGGAGCTGGTAGAGGAAGCTATGCTAAGCTGTTGTGTTAGCATTGGCTACACAGATTGAATTTGCTATAAATCATTTGGATTAGTATTTGTAAGGAAACTTGGGTGTAGAGAAAAGCATGGACAAACTGATCTGTTTGTTTTCAGACCAGAACCCACTAAGACAATTAGAATCCAGAAAGACCAACTACAACTCTCTATTTTCACCTCCACAATCTCATGAGCTGGGCACCTTCAGAGAAGTGGGTATCACTTGCATCCTGCTACATGCAGACCTGGCCCAAGACAGATAGAAGCTGAGGGAGGAGACCTGGTGGGGGCCGGGCTGTGGGTTAGCAATAAGGTGAGGGGCAGAGCAGGAGTAGTACATGTGAGTTGTCACCATGCCTGGAGCCTGAACCAGCCTGCAGAAAACAAAACATGGTTGCTGGGTCACAGCTGCCATCCAGATCTTGAACAAACCTCTTGGAGCCCAACTCTAACCTAACATAATATAAGGAAGCAAATTCTGGAAAATGTATTTTCAGAAAGTTAAGACAATACAGAGTTATCACCGTGCCCTTCCAAACAAAGCTTATTCTCTCCACCCCCAAAGAGGGTGAATTTCATTTATCCATCTTTGAGTAAAGTTCTTAGCTCTTCTTGCTGAGCTATACTGTCCTGGCGATATCCTATAGTTTAACCAATGAATAACTTTAATCAGCGCATCTTATGCTATTGCATTTAGGCAAATGGAAAAAGTGTGTAAAAAAGGCTACTATGCATGTATTTATATCCAATTAAAAAAGAATTTCATAACCATCTGCTAATTGTCATGTAATTGTAGCTGATAATTATAACTCCTTTTTTTAAAAAGATTTATTTGTTTATGTATACAAGAACCGGGGTACAGGCCCCCCAGGTGTGGGGGGTGAGATGATTCACCAGAGATGACACAGTGGGGAACAGAACAGGCAGATCGATCGAAATACACTGCTGAGGGGAGCAGCAGGAGAGTCAGGAGAGGTCTGCTGCGCCATGTGGGTCACCTCCTGGGCTGGGGATTGAACTCGTGCTGCAGAGGCTGCGGATAGCTTCATAGGTTGCATCTTAACCCCTTTTGCCGCCGGGGAGGCCCCTATAATTCCTTCTTCCATTACTCATTCCATAATCTTTTGTCCATAGCAAACACCTCCAATCTCTGCTATGTCTGATTTTTTTTTGTTGTTGTTGTTTAAAACAAGCTCCTTATTCAGGATCAATGCTATGTGGAAGGTATCAAACTGAATAAAAATTTCTGCCAGTCCACCCATGTGGTTTTCACAGAAATATTGTTCACTACAGATCCTGCAACATTAAAACAATGCTAAATACAGAGATATTAAAAGAATTCCAAAGCAATTTTATGCCACTCAGTCAGCACATAGAGTAGACCTACACAAGTAGGCAACTAATTTTTTTTTTCTTTATTGAGGGCACATTGGTTTAAAACACTATGTATGATTTAAGGAATATGTTCACACCTCCTGTAATCTATCTCACCACACTATATCCACCATATAAGCAGAGATAGTCCTTTACCCTAAAGATTATTTCCCTTCCCCTCTCTGCTTCTACCTCCCCCTCCCCTATTCTCCATAGCCACAATTCTGTAGTCAGATTTCTGGGGTTTAATTTGGTTCAGTTTGTCAGTTTTTCTTTTGTTTGTTTTCTCTATATTCCACATATGAGTGAAATGATCCAGGATTTATTTTTTTCCTTCAGACTTAGTTCATTAGCATAATCCCCTCCAGTTACATCCACGTTGTTGCAAATGGCCAAGAGTTCATCTTTTTTTATAGCTCAGTAGTATTCCATTGTGCATATATACCATTCATCTTAACCCACTCCTCTGTTGATGGGTATTGAGGCTGTTTCCATAACTTGCCTATTCTAAATAGTTCTGCAATGTACATAGGAGTGCACATATGCCTTTGAATTTGTGATTTTATATTCTTTGGATAGATGTATAGGGGTGGAATTGCTGGATCATATGGAAAATCTATTTTTGCAAATCTGAGGAACTTCCATAAAGTTTTCCACAGTTGCTGGACCAGTCTACATTACCACAACAGTGTAAGGGATTTCTATTTCTTCACATCATGCCAAAATTTGTGGTTTCTCATTTTCCTGATATGGGCCATTCTCATTAGAATAAAATGATATCTCATTGTGGTTTTGATTTGCATTTCCCTGATGATAAATGAAGACAACTGATTTCTTTTTTTTTTTCTTTTTTTTTTTTTAAAGATTTATTTATTTATTTATACAAGATCCTGGGCACAGGCCAGATGCGCGGGGGGTGAGAGGATTCACCAGAGACAGAGCGGGGAACAGAACAGGGAGACTGACGAAATACACTGGTGAGGGGAGCAGTGGGTGAGATAGGAGAGGTCTGCCGTGCCATGTTGGACCCTCGCTTGCCTGCCAAGATCGAACCAGTGCTGCAGAGGCTGCAGACAGCTTCACACAGCGCTGCTCTCAACTGCCTGCGCCACCAGGGGAGGCCCTGATTTCTTGACAAAAGTTGTAAAAGCCATTCATTGAAGCAGAGATAGTCTCATTAATGAATGGTAACAGATATATTTGGAAAACAGCAAAATTCAATATCTTTACTTTCATTTTGGGGGTGCAGTTATCTGTTAGATAATTTTCTGTACTTTTATGTGTAAAAATTATTTAGTAAATATAAAAAGTTTAAAAAATGGATAATATCAAACAAAGTTTTTACTAGTTTACCTAGCACACAGAGATTGGAACCCTTACTACCTATTACTTTAACAAGTGTATTCCCAATATGTGATATAATGCCAATAAAAATTTCACTAGCAAAATATTTTAAAATTAAAATAAAGGAGTTAATTAATTAACTAAATTATTTAGTTTATTATTTAGTTTATTTCAGGAGTTTAACCTGAAATAAATAACACAGATACTTCCTCTCCAGAAGCAGACAAATAGACAATAAAAAGACTTGGGTAAGCCAGAATCTTCTCTAATCTTTGCATAACCAGGCTGTCAATGTAGCAAAAGAAACCCTATTTCCTGTGTGGGAAGCAGCATTAGACCCCAGGAACTACATAAATGCCCTGCCAGGCTCTCAGAGACACTGAGCTCTCAGCTGGAGGCACAACTGCACACACGTGTCAGGGCACACACTCCCCAAGGCGCCCTCCAGCCTGCTGTGGGCCCTGGTGGCCTTCACCTGCTCTGGTAGGCCTGGGGCCAGTTGGGGGTGGGGAGGATGGGAGGACAGCACTGGGCACGTGGCTGCTTGGCATGGATGAGGAGGGAAGGCTGCCTGGGGAAAGCAGGCATGTGATGATTTCAATGTGGCTAATTATTAGCAATTAAGACTCAATCTACTCTCATAATAATTAACTGCATCAGATCTGTTTTCTGATTCTACCACAGGATCCAGTGTGGCCCAGAAAATTATTCAAGACCAGCCAGCTATAGCCACGCAAGTGGAAGAAGCAGTCACCGTGAATTGTCGGTATGAAACAAGCCTGAATACATATGCCATTTTTGTGGTACAAGCAACTTCCCAATGGAGAGATCGATTTCCTTATTCCTCAGCTTTCTTTTGCCAACAATACAGAAAGGGGTCGCTATTCTATAAACTTCCAGAAAGCAGACAAAACCATCTCCCTCATCATTTCACCCGTGCAACTGGAAGATTCAGCTAAGTATCTCTGCACTTTCACTGATGCACTGTGTTTGAAATGAAAGGAAAAGCTGAACAAAAACCCCAGAGCTCCATAAAAGAGCCCTGCGCAGGAGCCAAGCTGAAATCACACCTCCACATGCCAGACAGGCGATGGCAGTGACTGGTTGCTTCGTCTGTGGTCTGGATCAGGGAGGACTTCTGAGTAAAACCTCCTTCTATGTCATAAGGAAACAGGTGTCCAGAGTAATTTTCTTCTAATGAATTCTTAGTCATGAATTTTTGTCTTAAAGTCAATCATGCAGACCATGTGCATAGTTACCTAATAGCGAAAAAAATCACCTCATAATCAGATAACCCTGGCTGAGACGGCCACGGAACTGTGAGTTTTTCAGAAGGAGAAAGAAAAATATCAGATGGTTTCACTTATAGGTGGAATGTAGGGGAACCAACTAAGACATCAGGGGGAAATTAATAACAATAGAAAACACAACACAACACAACAAAACAGCCAATTATAAACCAGAGACATTCCTGCAGGGAAGGAGGAGGGGGAGGGATCAGAGGGAGGGAGGAGCACAGGGGACTGTGGTGATGGTGCACGTGTGCCTTGGGGAAGGAAATTCTATGGGGACTACACATGGGGGGTGGGGGGAAGAAAGTATTATTTAAAAATGAACAATGATGTAAAAAAGATATAAATAAAAAGAAAATTAAAAAATTCATTAGATTCTGATGGAGAAAATGATTGCAAGGTAAATGAATGACCATTAAATAATAGTGTTAACAGGGCGAAAATCCATATTGCATTCTATTTTCAATGTTAGGCCACTGAAAATTATCAATATTGTCAATTAATTCAATCTTTATTTTCCCTTCAGCTCAACCTGTAATACTAATTGCTTTTTTTGCCCCTTTTCACCTACTGCCTCACTCAATTACCAGGAAAAGACAAGTAGAAAAGTCAATGTTTGGGATAAGCCAGATTCTTTTCTCATCTGTGCATAACCAGGTGGGCAATGCAACATGAGAAACACTATTTCCTGTGTGGGGAGCAGCATCAAGCCCCAGGAAATACATAAAGGCTCTTCCAGGCTCTCAGAGACACTGAGCTCCCCGCTGGAGGCACAACTGCACGCACGTGTCAGGGCACACATGCCTCATGGTGCCCTCCAGCCTGCTGTGGGCCCTGGTGGCCTTCACCTGCTCTGGTAGGCCCGGGGCCAGGCAGGGAAGGGGAGGATGGGAGGACAGCACCGGGCACAGGGTGCTTGGCATGGATGAGGGGGAACGGAGAACTGGGACAAAGTCAGCATGGGATGATTTCAATGTGGTTTGTTTTTGTATCAGATTAGTCTAATTCTATAATATTTTATTCACTGCATCATCTGTGTTTTCTGATTCTCCCTACAGGATCCAGTGTGGCCCAGAAAGTTATTCAAAACCAGCCAGATATGTTCAAGCAAGAGGGGTCATCAGTCGACCTGAAGTGTCAGTACGAAACAAGTGGGAGGAGTACATACTACTTTTATTGGTACAAGCAGCTTCCTGATGGAAACATGACTTACATTATTCATCACTCTTCTTCTGTTCAAAAAGCAACAGAGGGTCGTTATTTTGCAACCTTCATGAAAAAAGACAGAGGCATCATCCTCACCATTTCACCCTTGCAACTGGATGATGCAGCAAAGTATTTCTGTGCTGTCTGGAAAAGCACAGTGTTTGAAGTGATAGTAAAAGTTGAACAAAAACCCCAGGACTCAAGGGCAGCCAGAACCCAGGAGTCAAGTTGAAATCACACGTGCACATCCCAGACAGGTGATGGCAGTGACTGTGGGTGCTTCTTCTGTGGTCTGGAGCAGAGGAATGAATTCTGAGAAAATCTTCCTATGTCATTTGGAAACAGGTGTCAGAGTAACTTTCTTCCAATATATCCACAGTCAAGAATTTTGACTTAATCAATCATATATAACACATTAATAGTTGCCTAATGTTGAAAAAACTTGCCTCATAATCATTTCAAGTGTCATCTGCACTTGGAGATGTTCACATCACAAACTGAGTCTGGTCATCTGGAATCATGAAAATCATTTCTTGAGCTCTGTCCTCTTGGGCTTCGTGTCAGCTAAGGAATAATTAGAGAGGCAAACCATTTTGAATAATGTAGAGTAAGATATGAAACACAAGGATTAGACATCATGCAAATCCTGAAATTGGTAAGAGAATCTACATAAAACTGTTGTGTTTGATTGGGCTATGTAGAACGTGATTTTGCTATAAGTCAGCACACGTTTCAGGTGGAAAGCAAGGATAAACTGACCTGGGAGGGATATACTAGAACACAGAGGGCAATCAGGACTCAGATAAACTACAATTTGTTTGCTTTCATCTCCTCAAACTCATGGGGTGTTTCCTTCAGTAGAAATGGGTATCATTTGCATCTTGCTACATGCAGGCCTGGCCCAAGACAAAGAGAAGCTGAGAGAGGAGACCTGGTGGTGGGGGTTGTGGCTGGGGGTCAGCAATAAGATGAGGGGCAGAGCAGAAGCAGCACGTTTGAGTTGCCACCGTGCCTGGAGCCTGCACCAGCCTGCAGAAGACAAAACATGGCTGTTGCATCACAGCTGGTTTCCAGATCTTTTTTTTTTTAATATTTATTTATTTATGCATTCAAGAACTGGGGTACAGGCCAGAGATGTGGGGGTGAGAGGATTCACCAGAGACAGAGCGGGGAACAGAACAGGCACACTGACAGAAATATACTGCTGAGGGGAGCAGTAGGCAAGACAGGAGAGGTCTGCTGCACCATGTGTGTAGCTCCTGGCCCACCTGGGATGGAACTCCTGCTGCAGAGGCTGAGGATAGCTTCACAGTGCTGTGCTTAACCCCTTGCCACACGAGGGAGGTCCTGCCCTCCAGATTTTGCACAGATTCTTTTTGTGACTAGCCCTAACCCAACACAACACAGGAAGCAAGTTTTGGGGAACACATTTTCAGAAATGACAATGTGACAATACAAAGCTGAGACAATACAAAGTTACCACAGTGTCCTGCCTAAAACAAGGTAACTTTTCTCCTAAATACCATGAAGTTCATTTATCCAATTGGACAAAGTTCTTAGTTCTTCTTGTTGAGTCACCCTGTACCATTTATTTTCTGTAGTTTAACCACTGTGTTAAATTTATGATTAACCATTATGATTAACTTTAATTAACACATCTTAAGCTGAGGTATACAAGCAAAGGAAAAGGGGTATAAAAATGGTTAATATATAGTATATATCAAAATAAAAATGAATTTGTATTTCTGCGAATAGTTACATGGGTTTATAGTTGGCAACTATAACTACCTCTACCATTACCTGTTCAATAATTTGTGCAAAGCAAGCACCTCCACTCATTGCTTTACCCAACTTTTATTTAAAACAAGCTCCTTATTTAGGAACTATGATAGGTGGAAGGCTATAAAGTTGAATAAGGAATTCTACAAGCCCACCCATGTAGTTTTCACAGAAACATTGTTCACTACAGATTCTACAAAATGAGAATAATGATAATAAAAGAATTATTAAAAGAATTCCATAACAATGTTAGGACACTGAGACAGTGCACAGAAGTAGATCCACACAAGAAGAGACAACATTTTTTTTTAAATTAACAATGGTTTACAACACCCTGTATGACACGGGAAGATGGTCATACCTCCTCATATGTTTGTCACTACTCCAGTCCCACCACCAAGAACCAGTAGTCCTATTCTGGACCAGTGGTCCCCATCTCTCCCTATCCTGCCGCCCCCTTGAGACAAATTCTGCAATCATATTTCTAGCATTTATTTTGGTTTAGTTTTATCAGTACCTTAATATTATGTTTGTTTGTTTTCACTATATTTCATATTTAGGTAAAATCATGCAGTAATGTTTTTTATCTTCTAACTTATTTCATTAGCATAGTCATTTATGGTTCCACTCAGTTGTTGCAAATGGCAAGAGCTGTTTTTTTGTTTTTGTTTTTTTTAAGCTGAGTAGTAGCGCATTATGCAGATATACCACATTTTCTTAATCCACTCTTCCCTCAGTGGACATTTGGGTTTTTTCATAATTTGACTATTGTAATTAGTGCTGCAGTGAACAAAGGAGTGAATATATCAGTCTGAGTTCATGATTTTGAAATGTTTGGGGAGACACTGTGGAATTGCTGGATAATGCAGTATATCTATTTTAATACATTGAAAAACATTATTATTATTTTTAATAGGAAATGGACTAGTCTACATCCCCACCAACATTGTAAGTGTATCATTGGCAATATTTGATGTTTCTGATTTTTTTTTATATTGGTTATTCTCATCAGAGTGAAGTAATATCTATTTATGGCTTTTATTTTCACTTTCCCAATGATAGGTGGTAAAAAAAGATTTTTTTTGACAAATGTACAAAAACAATACCATTGAGGAGAATTAGTCTTATCAACAACTGGTGTTGGGACAATGAATATTCATTCATCTAAGGTCACACTTTATACAAAAATTTGAGGACAGTTTTAAATTGGATCATTCATCTGCGTGTAACATGTTAAACTATAAATATTTTAAATGAAAAATCAGAGCTAAGCTTTCATTACCTTGGATTAGGCAAAGAGATTTTTCATATGACCCCAAAGCAGTAGTCACAAAAAATAAAAAATTTGATTTTTGCCAAAATTAAGCATGTGAATTAAGTGTGTGAAAGATACTACTAAGAGAATGAAAAAGACAAACCACAGATTGGCAGGAAATACCTGCAAATATATTTCCCTTAAAGCATTGGTATGCAGAATATAAAGAATTCCTAAACTCCACAAGAAGAAAACAAAAAATCCAATATAAAAATAAACAAAAGGTTTACAGAGAGGCTACAATGAAGAGGGTATGTGGTAGATAAATAAACATATAAATAAGCATATGAACAGATGTGCAACATTATTAGCCACTTGGAAAATGCAAACTAAAGCCACAAGGGGATACATTTCCACATGTATTAGTATGGTTAAAATGACAAGACTATATCAAGTTCCTGCATGGAAGCTAGAAGCTGGATATTCATAATTGCTGGTGGGTGATTGGTATAGTCACTCTGTAAAACAGCTTGTCATTTCCACAAAAAGTTGAATATTCACTTCCCATACAACCTAGCAAGCTCCTGGTTACTTATGCTACAGAAATGAGAAAGTCATGTTCACACAAAAACCTGTGTATAAATCTTCCTGGCAGCTACATCTGTGTTGGCCACTGGACACCACCAAGTTTCTTTGTTGGATAAATGTATCCCAGGACATCCATGCAACACATTACTACTTAGTAATAAAAAGGAATGGACTTGATACTTGCAACAACCTGGAAGGATCTGACAACTGGAAATAAAAGCTCCTGGATAGTAGTAGTATTAGAGTAATAGAAGAGAAATTCTTCATCTGCATGTGTGGCCCACACCAAAATTAGAAATAATGCATGCAGAAGGATGAATTTGCTCACCATACAGCTAAAAAAATTAGAAATAAATGCAAGATAAAAGAACTTCTAGAAATAAATATGAAGTATGTCCCAAATAACAATATAAGGCTATAGAAGGGAATTCAAAGCAAAAACAGGATGGTCTGTCAATATAAATGACATTAACTTCTTAACTAAATAGAGGAGTATAATGAAAAGAAAATGATTTCATTTCTACCAGGTCAACAAAAATGAAGAAGTCTAGTAACAGTAACTGTTAACAAGAATATAGGGGTGTGAGGCTATTAAAGATTATCAGATGGAGAAAAGCAAGCACACATAGAATGATTTATTCAACTACTTAGGAGAACAATTTGCCTAGATTAGTATATACATATCTCTAAAATTCCAACAATTCCAATTCCTGATATCAACATAAAATATTTAAACTTTTCAACAAGGAAGCATTTATAAGGATATGATACTGCACTGTTTATAAGTAAACCAATCAATAATGAAATTAATAAATAGCAGATTATATACAATATAGTGGAAAAACAATTAGCTATTACAAGCAAAGAAGTAATTCTATACTTATTTTCTTGGATGAATCAAAAATAAAATGTGGCACTATTTATGAGTAACCTCAAAATACAAACATAATATGTTTCATGATATATACCAATGAGGCTAATATTTTAAAAGACATTAATGGAATCTTTCCAAATTGATTCCTACTTTAGAAACAGAGGAACGGACAAGGGTTGCTCTTCCAGTTCTTCATATAATGTTGGGAGAAAGAGAGAAGAGGAGGGAGGGAGGGTAGAGAGATATCTGTAGAAAACAGAAAAATAAAATATTTGCTCATTGTGGGGGTATAAAAGTACCTGTTGGAAAATTTCTAACTTTTCCATGTATGATTTATCCAATAAATATTTTTAAAAAGCTTTTTAAGAATAGATAGTAACCACCACAGTCCTTACTTGCTCAGTCAGTACATGGAACCCTCATTACATATGATCTTTACAGGTATATTACCCATCTATCACATGAATGTCAATATAATTTTCATTAGAAAAAATTTTACTGTTTATAAGTTGAAAGGTGCTCAACTAGAAATAAACAAACCATGGACTTCCTCTTCCAGCTCACAAAGTACACATTTTCAATATGAGCACAACACACACACACACACACCCAGTCGGGGGGGGGGGGAATTACCTAGCAATGGGAAATATGATTGCAAGATGTCAGTACACGTCAGCACTAGTAAACAAATTCAGTGAAATCTTGCTAAGTTGATATACAAAACTGAGTTGTAGGGGCCTCCCTGGTGGCGCAGCGGTTGAGCGCTGTGTTGTGAAGCTGCCCACAGCCTCTGCAGCACTGGTTCGATCCCTGGCCAGCAGGCGAGGGTCCCACATGGTGCACAGACCTCTCCTGCCTCCCGCTGCTCCCCTCAGCAGTGTATTTCGTCAGTCTGTCTGTTCTGCTCCCTGCTCTGGCTCTGGTGAATTCTCTCACCCTCCCACGCTTCTGACTGTACCCAGTGCTTGTATAAATAAATAAATAAATCTTAAAAAAAATTAAAAACAAAACAAAACTGAGTTGTATTCCTAGGTATTACTAATGAAAGAAAATAGAAAGAAAAATTAAGGGAAAAAAAATTCCCTTTACAATTGCATCCAAAGAATAAAATACTTAGAAATAAATTAAAACAAAGAAATTAAATGAATGACCCTGAGAACTAAAAGACATTGATGAAAGACATGAAGAAAACACAGAAGCTATTCCAGTTCGTGGACTAGAAGAATTAATATTGTTAAAATGTCCATACTACTCAATGTAATAACAGATCCAATGAACTCCCTATCAAAATTCCAAAGGCAATATTCACAGAAATAGACTATACAATCATGCAATTTGTATGGACATAAAAGAACACCCCATAGTCAAAGAATCCCAAGAACAAAGAGGAAAGTTTTAGTCATCACACTTCCTTGATATCAAACTACATTACAAACCTATATGTGTCAAAACATATTTTCATGAGACAAACAGATAGGTAACTGGAATATAATAGCTCAGAAATAAACCCACACAAATATGGTCAATTAATTTATGTCATATGAGTGGGGAGTCAAGAATATAGAGTGGGGAGTTAGCCTCCTTAATAAGTGCATAAGAAACCAGAATGCCATCTTACTTAATACACAAAAATCTTGTTGGAATGAAGTAAAGACTTGCCCACAACTGAAATATAAGATTGATAACTGAACATAAAACTTGGATGTAAGACTGAATCCATACTCCTGAAGAAAATATAGTGGGTAAGCTCTTTTAACACTGGTCTAGGCAATGTTTTTTTTTTTTTTTTTTGATTTAACACTAAAAGCAACAAAATCAAAATTAAAAAGTGGAGTAAGTCAAATTTAGAAACTTCTGTACAATGAAAAAAGCCATCAACAAAAGGAAAAGGCAAGCCACAGAATGGCAAAAAATATTTGGAATCATATACCTAGTAAGGGGCTAATATCCGAGATACATAAAGGACTCATACAACTCAATAGATTAAAAAAACAAATAAATAAACCAATTGAAAATGGGCAGTAGGTCAGAACACTTTTCCAAAGAAGACATACAAAGTCCAGTAGCTTCATGAAAAATTACTCAACATCATGAACCATTGTCAGGGAAATGCATATCAAATGACAATGGGCTACCACATCACATCCATTGGAATGCTATTATCAAAAACTCAGCAATTACAATTGTTGGTGAGGATGTGCAGAAACGGCAACCATTGTGCTTGGTGTTTGGGATATAATAGTGAGCCACTATGGAATCAGTGTGGAGTTCCCGCAGCAAAATCAAATAAAAAACTGCCATGTGATTCATCAATTACACTCTGGGTATATATCTGAATTAAACAAAGCTAGTATTTCAAAAAGAATTATGCACCTCCATGTCACTGAAGCTTTATTTACCCTGTTTTAGACATGGAAACAACCTGAGTGTCTATTAATGGACAAGTGACAAGTGAGATAGGAGATACACCTACACACACACACACACACACACACACACATAGAATATTATTCAGCCATAAAAAGAAATCCTACCATTTGTGATATGATTTGACTTGAAGGCATTGAGTTAAGTAAAATAAGCCAGAGAAGAAAGACAAACGCTGTATGTTCTCACATATATGGTGTTCATAATCAGGGACACAAAGAAAAAAAAATGTGGTTGCTAGAGGTGGGCAGGGGGTCTTTGAGTATAGGTAAAAAGGGTGAGGGTGATCAAAAGGTAAAAACTTCCAGTTATAAATCCTGGGATGTAATGTATAACATAGTGAGTTCTGAGAACTTTAAAATTATGTATATGTAAGAAATTTGAAAGTGTGTGTGTGTGTGTGTGTGTATAAAACTGCAGTTGCTTTCTTCAGGGTGCAATATACAGTGTTAAAATAGAATACTGCCCATGTTAGACTGCATGATAGGCCTAAGAGAACAGCTATAATCAAAGATATATATAAATGCAATCTACTTGTGTAGGCAACAGTACGGAGTACACAGACTCTTGTCAGAGTCTAATAAATAAAACTCACTGTCAGATTTCAAAATATGTGTTATTTCTGTTATAATTTTATAAACACGTAAATAGGTTTGGAAAGTCAGAAAACTAATCTTCCATCATTTGATTTTTGAATTTGAAGCTGCTATAGAACCAAGCAGAGCTTTAGAACCAAATAAGGAAGAAGAGATGCACTAATTGTTTTAAGCATTGATAGTATACCCTTTACTGAGAAAGTCACACTCTATGATTTAAAAAAAAAATATTAGATTCTGGATGGACAAAAATAGTTGCAAGGTAAATGAATAATCTTTAGGTACATACAAAGGGGGAAAGCCATAATGCCTTCCATTTGCACAATGTTCAATATTGCCCATTGACTCAATCTTAATTCCTCCTTCAGTTCATATCTATAATATAAATTGATATTTTTGTGCCACTTTTCAACTTCCCTCACTCAATTACCAGGAAAAGACAAGTAGAAAAGCAAAGTTTGGGGTAACCAGACTCTTTTATCATCTGTGCATAATTGGGTGGGCAATGCAGCATGAGAAACCCTATTTCCTGTGTGGGGAGCAGCATCAGGCCCAGGAACTGCATAAACGTTCTTCCAGGCTCTCAGAGACACTGAGTTCCCTGCTGGAGGCACAACTGCACACACGAGTCAGGGCACACATGCCCCATGGCGCTCTCCAGCCTGCTGTGGGCCCTGGTGGCCTTCACTTGCTCTGGTAGGCCCGGGGCCAGGCGGGGGTGTGGAGGATGGAAGGACAGCACCGGGCACAGGGTGTTTGCGTGGATGAGGGGGAGGGAGGACTGGGGAAAAGCCAGCATGGGATGATTTCAATGTGGTTAATTATTAACAATTAAGAATTAGTTCATTCTTATAATACTTAATTCAGCACATCAGCTCGGGTTTCTGACTTTCCCCCACAGGATCCAGTGTGGCCCAGAAAGTTACTCAAGACCAGCCAGATATATCAGCACAAGAAGAGTCGGCAGCCACCTTCAACTGTCAGTATGAAACAACTTGGATTAACTACTATCTTTTCTGGTACAAGCAGCTTCCTGACGGAAAGATCACTTACATTATTCATCAGTATTCTTCTGATAAAAATGCAGTAAAGGGTCGCTATTTCATAAACTTCGTGAAAGCAGACAAATCCATCTCCCTCACCATTTCACCCTTACAACTGGAAGATTCAGCAACGTATTTCTGTGCTCTCAGTGATGCACTGTGTTTGAAGTGATAGGAAAAGCTGAACAAAAACCCCAGAGCTCAATAAGAGCAAGAACCGTGCTCAGGAGCAAAGCTGAAATCACACCTGCATGTCTCAGACAGCAGTGGCAGAGACTGTGGCTGCTGCTTCTGTGTTCTGGATCAAAGGATTGAATTCTATGTAAAACCTCCTTCTATTTCATTAGGAAATAGGTGCCCAGAGTTAACTTTCCTTTAATATATCTTCAGTCATGGATTTTGACATAAAGTCAGTTATTCATAACATATCCATGGCTGCTTAACGTAGAAAAAACTTACCCGGTAATTATTTCAAGTGTCATCTGCATTTGGAGATGTTCACATCACAAACTGGGTGTGGTCATCTGGAGTCATCATGAAAATCATTTTATGAGCCCTGTCCTCTTATGCTTTGAGTCAATGGAGGTATAATCAGAGAACACTCCACCATGAGTGCTGTAGAATAAGAGATGAAACACATGTATTAGACCTCATGCAATTGAAGGAACTGGTGAGGCATCTGAACAAAAATGTTGTGTTTGTATTGTCTTTAGAGACTGAATTCACTATGAATTAGTTAGAGTAACATTTATGGAAAGTTGGATATCATCAAAAGCATGGACAAATTTACCTGTATATATTAGTACCCATGAGGACAATTGGAACGCAGAAAGTCAAACTACAAGTTACTTACTCTCACCTCCTCAATCTCATGGGCACCCACGGGGGAAGTGGGTATCACTTGCATCCCGCTACATGCAGACCTGACCCAAGACAGAGAGATGCTGAGAGAGGAGACCTGGGTGGGGAGGGGCTGTGGGTCAGCAATAAGATGAGTGGCAGAGCAGGAGCAACTCATGTGAGTTGCCACCATGCCTGGAGCCTGCACCAACCTGCAGAAAACAAAAACGTGGCGGTTGCGTCACAACTGCCTTCCAGATCTTGCACAAATCTCTGTGTGGCCAACCCTAACTGAACATAGTACTAGGGAGCAAATTCTGGGAAATGAATTGCCAGAAAATCAAGTTGAGACAATGCAAAGGTACTATAGTGCCCTACATAAACAAGGTAACCCTTCCCCCAATAGAGGATGAAGTACATTTATCCATCTTTGGGCAAATTTCATAGCTCTTCTTGCTGAGTGACATTCTCCTATTGATGCCTGTAGTTTAACATTGTGTTGACTTTATGATTAACCAAAAAATTAACAAATATAATAATTTCATTAGCAAATTTGAGATACTGCTATTTGCACATGGAAAATGGGAGGAAAATCATTAATACACATATAAGTATATTTATATATAAAAAAGAGTTTCCTAACTATTTCTGAAAATTGTCATGTGGTGAGTCTGTCTTTTATAACTCCCTCTTCCATAACCTGTAGTATAATCTAATGCCCATAGAAACACCACTCACTGCTATGCCCGACTTTTATATAAAAAGATTCCTTATTCAGGGGCAATGCTACGTGGAATGCTATAAAACTGAATAAGGAATAACTCCACCCACGTGGTTGTGATAAAATAACAGGTATGATGGCAAATGCATCTTCAAGTGTGTATTTAAGTGGGGGTAAGCATTTCAATATCCAAAGAAAATTGATACACTGTGTTTTAGGAAAAATAATAAAAATTGACACCTGACTTTTCATTGGAAGTAACAGAAAGGGAAACCATCACCAGGGAAAATTATTTTTAAGGTGCTCAAATAAAGCAATCAAAATTTCAAACTAGCTCCCCATTAACATGAAAGTAAAACTTTCATTTTTATTTTTTGTTAAAATTCGAAATTCACTGCTAAGAATGTGCAAAGTCCACGCACAGACTGTTAAAACTAAACTTATAGTGCATAATTCCAGAAAAGGACTCATAAGAATATGTAAAATGATCATTTAAATTAATAAGAAAAGGCAAGAATGAAAATGGTTAAATCTTGAACAATCATTAAAGAAATGTGATATAACAAATAAAAATAGGAAAAAAGCATTTCATCATATTGTCTTTATAGAAATGAAAATAAAAGCCCACTTCAGAGTGCCATCTTCGTCCTCTCAGTACCCTGAGTGTGTTAACGCAGTCATGAGAAAATGACCCCTGAGGGTAGTTGAGGTGGTTTCCCTCAATATTGGTGTTGGCAATGATGTGGTTTGGGTTTGATGCCAATAGCACAGCAACAAAAGCAAAGGTAAAAAGTGAGATTAAGTTAAACTAAAAAGCTTTTGTATAACAAAAGAAACATTACAAAATGAAAAGGCAAACAAAAGAGTGACCCAAATATTTGCAAATCATATATTTGTTAAGGGTAAAATATTCAATATACATAAAGGTCACACACAATTCAATAGAAAAAGATAATCCAATTAAATGGGCAGAAAGCAAAACAATTTTCCAAGGAAGACAGTAAGGCTGATAGGTATGTGCAAAAGATTCACCATCACCAACCCCCAAGGAAATGCCTATCAAAACCACAATGAGCTATCACCTCACACTTTTAATGCATATTAAAACCAGAAATTATAAGTATTTATACTGTAAGAAATTTTAAATATTTTCATCATTCAAACAGCACAAAGTTTTGTTTTCATGATAATTACAATAAGAGTTGTAGAATCAAACCACACACTATTTATCATGGCAACAACATGGTTGAATATTTGATTTCAGAGTAATTATAGTGACTTTGTTCTGAAAACTTCTAATAAATTAATCATAGAGTTTCATCATGAATATAACTTTATATGATTATAACTTTACTGGTATTAACAATCAGTATTCCAATACATCACTGGAGATTACAGAAGAATATTTAGATTTCCTTTGTTGAGCATTGCTTGCAATTGTAGTTACCAGTTCCCATGGTCTAGTGGCTAAGTAGGAAAGAAAGGGAGGAGGTGACTTCTGGTTTGTCTTTTATGTGGAGGCAAAGAATCAGTGAGCATATTTCACCTTAGAATCAGCTTGGAAGCAAAAGAATGATCAAAACATGGATGAATATTTATCATCACAGAGAAATTTGTTTCAGATATGCCCTCATATCTTCTCTCATATTAACATACTAAATTTGGAAATTTTAAGTAATCAATCTCCTTTTCATATTTCCTTTAACATCAAGCTTTATACCTGTACTTTACCATAAATAATAATTTATCATTCAATCATAAAGAAAAGCAAAACATTGGCTAAGAAATTCCAAATCACCCAAATGGGGTAAACCTGACTCTTTTCCAATCTTTGCATAACCAGGTGGGCAATGCAACATGAGAAACCCTATTTCCTGTGTGGGAAACCCCCAGGAACTACATAAGCATGCTTCTAGGCTCTCAGAGACACTGAGCTCTCAGCTGGAGGCACAACTGCACACACACGTGTCAGGGCACGCACACCCCATGGCGCCCTCCAGCCTGCTGTGGGCCCTGGTGGCCTTCACCTGCTCTGGTAGGCCCGGGGCCAGGCGGGGCTGGGAGGATGGAAGGACAGCACCGGGCACAGGGTGCTTGCATGGATGAGGGGGAAGGAGGCCTGGGGAAAAGCAAGTATATGATGATTTCAATATGCTTTATGTTTGGGCATAAAATTAGTCTAATTCTTAAAATAACTTACTCACTGCATCACTTATATTTTCTGATTTTCCCCACAGGAACCATTGTTTCCCAGAAAGTTATTCAAGACCACCCAGCTATAGCCAAACGAGAGGGGTTGGAAGTCACCCTGAAGTGTCAGTATCAAACAACTCTCAGTAGCTTCTATCTTTATTGGTACAAGCAGCTTCCTGATGGAAAGATGACTTTCCTTATTTATCAGTATTCTTATGACAACAATGCAGTAAAAGGTCGCTATTCTATAAACTTTCAAAAACCATTCAAATCCATCTCCCTCACCATTTCACCCTTGCAACTGGAAGATTCAGCCAAGTATTTCTGTGCTCTTCGAGAGCCCACTGTGTTTAAGGCAACAGTAAAAGCTGGACAAAAACCCCAGAGCTGAAGAAGGGTAAGACCTCTCAGGAGCCAAGCTGAAATGACACCTGCACATCCCAGACAGGCGATGGCAGTGACCGTGGTTGCTTCTTCTGTGGTCTGGATCAGGTGGGGGACACTTCTGCGTAAAACCTCCTTCTATGTCATCAGGAAACAGGTGTCCAGATAATTTTCTTCTTATACATTCTCAGTCTTGACTTTTTAACTTAATGTCAATCATACAGAACTTGTGTAATGTTGCTTAATATTGGGAAACTTTCCCATACTCATTTCTAGTGCAGCTGCACTTGAAGATTCTCACATCAAAAACAGGTTCCAGTCATCTGGACCATCATGAAAATCATCTTTATTCCTTCCCTCTTAGGCTTTGTTTGTGTCAATAAAGATACGATCAGAGGAGCAGAACAATAGTGAGTTAAGAGATAAGAGATAAGAGATCAATGAAAGGTTTAGATAAGATAAGAGATCAATGAAAGATTTAGATCTCACACCATTAATGGAACTGGTAGTGAATCTGTGCAAAGTTTCTGTGCTTGGAAGTTCTGTCTTTGGATGGAAAGAGCTCTGGGGATCTGGGGTGGTGATGGTGCCCCCCCCCAATGTGAATGTACTCAACTGCCGCTGAATATACTCTTGAAAATGGTTAAGATCGGGCATACCTGGTGGCACAAGGAGTTAAGATGCAACCTACGAAGCTATTCGCAGCCACTGCAGCAGGAGTTCGATTCCCGGCCAGGGAGCTACTCACATGGCACAGCGGACCTCCCCTACCTCTCCTGCTGCTCCCCTCAGCAGTGTATCTCAGTCAGTCTGCCTGTTCTGTTCCCCAGTCTGTCTCTGGTGAATCCTCTCACCCCCACACCTCTGGCCTGTACCCCAGTTCTTGTATGCATAAATAAATAAATCTTTTTAAAAAATGGTTAAAAAAAGTTTCTGTGTTCACATTGGCTACACAGCCTGCATTTGCTATAATTCATCAGTTGGATTAATTTGTAAGGAAACTTAGATATAGAGAAAAGCATGCTAGGACCCATGAGGACAATTGGAACCCAGAAAGACAAACTACAACTGTCTACTCTCAACTTCTCAATAGCATGGCTGGGCACTTTCTGGGAAAGTGGGTATCCTTGGATCCTGCTACATGCAGACCTGGCCCAAGACAGAGAGGCTGAGAGAGGAGACCAGGTGGAGGCGGGGCTGTGGGTCAGCAATAAGAAGAGAGGCAGAGCAGGAGCAGCACGTATGAGTTATCACTGTGCCTGAAGCCTGCGCCAGCCTGCAGAAGACAAATCATGGCTGCTGCGTCACAGTTGCTCTCCAGATCTTACACTAATCTGCGTGCCAACCCTAACCTAAAACAATACAAGAAAGCAAATTCTGAGAATATTTTCAGAAAGTTACGTTGAGACAATACAAATTTACCATAGTGCCCTATCAAAAACAAGTTCATCCTTCATTCCAAAGAGGGTGAATTTCATTTATTCATATTTGAGCAAGTTCTTAGCTCTTCTTGCTGAGTCAATCTCTCCAATATATTGATTTAATGTAAAAGGTAATTTTGTAAGTATTTCGGCCAATGGTCATGTGATTATTCTCAAAAACACAATAAAACCATTACAGAAATGTGATATCTCATAACTAATAAAATTAGGGAAAAAGCACTTCATCATATTGTCTTTACAGAAATGAAAATAAACCCCACTCCAGAAAAATTTGGACAATTTTTTCCAAATTGTCCTTTTAGTACCCTGAGTGTGTTAATGCAGTCATGAGAAAATGACCCCTGAGGGTAGTTGAGGTGGTTTCCCTCAATACTGGTGTTGGCAATGATGTGGTTTGGGTTTGATGTCAGTAGCACAGCAACAAAAGCAAAGGTAAAAAGTGGGACTGCGTCAAACAAAAAAGTTTTTGTACAACAAAAGAAACATTATAAAATGAAAAGGCAAAAAACAGAATGGCAAAAATATTTGCAAATCATAAATTTGCTAAGGGTAAAATATCCAAAATATGTAAATGACACATACAATGCAACAGAAAAAGATAATCTAGTTAAAAAAGGGCAAAATACAAAAAAAATTTCCAAAGAATATACAAAGTCAAAGGTATGTGTAAAATATTCACCATCACCACCCATCACGGAAATGCCTATCAAAACCACAATGAGCTATCACCTCACACTTGTTGGAATGCACACTAGTAAAAACCCAGAAATTACAAGTATTTATACTATTAAAACTTTTAAATATTTTCATTGTTTAAACTTCACAAAGTTTTAACTTCATGATAACTACAGTAAGAGTTGTAGAGTCAAATTCAGAGTAATTACAGAGACTGTTCTGAAAACTTCTAAATTAAGCAGAGATTTACATCATCAATAAATATGATTTCACTGGTGTTAGTATTCATTATTACAATATACCACTGGACAGACTGCAGAAGAATATTTTGATTTCACTTGTTTCAGCGATGTTTGCTGTTGTCAAGTTACCAGTTCCCATGGTTTGGTGGCTAAGCGGGAAGGAAGGGAGGTGGTGACTTCTGGTTTGTGTCTTACGTGGAAACCAAGAGCCACTGGGCACATTACACTTTAGAATCAGTTTGGAGGCATGAGAAAAACCAAAACTTGGATGAATATTTGCCATCATAGCCATACATTTGTTTCAGGGATGCCCTCAGTTCTTCTCACAGATTAATTTACTAAACTTGAAAATTTTAAGTAATCAATCTCCTTTTGACATATTTTAAATATCAAGCTTTATGACTGTACTTTAGCAAATAAAATCACTTATCATTCAATCACAAAGAAAGGCAAAGCGGCGTTTAAGAAAGTCCAAATCACCCAATTGGATGTCGTAAACTCAAACGTGACCCTCCCAGAAACCAGACTTCAGAGGCTGCACTGACTGCGCTGGGGACCCTGTGCATGTGCTATCAAGAGCACAGGGCTGGGCACAGGAGGAAAAGGTGCCATATGCTGTGGGCATTGATGATCTCCTCAGGTTAGTTACAAAAATTTCAAACCAGGGCATCAGCTGCCTGTTGCTCTCAGAGGAGAAGTGGAGCAGAGTCAATTTCTCAGCTGACTGGAACTCTCTCCCTGCACCACCCAGCTGTGAGTTACTGGGGCCTGTGCAGGGAATCTTCACATTTCAGAGATCCTGTCTGATCTTCGTTTTTCCAGCTGTCGGTTTGCCTTTTGCTCCTTTTACATTAATTCATCCACTGAACAAAGAAATCAAATGGAAGATGGACAGCTACATAGCAGGTGATCAGCCAACTTATCAAAACTTCAGCTACAATTTCTGTACAATTGACATGTACTGAGTGTGTGTAACTCACATTCTGTAGGAGTGGAGTATAAGTGGTACCTACCACAGAGATCAGTATCCTTGCCTGGATTTACCTTTAGAAAGTAAAAAGACAAACAGGCACTGAATTTAATAAGAGAGAATAACACTTTGGATCAATTGGATAAAAAATATGACAACAGGGCCATTCCAGGACACCTGACCTACCAGGGCAATCTGTTTGTGTGGTAACAGCACTGAGACCGGGACCCTCCTCAGAGTCTAATAAATAAAACTCAGGGTCAGAATTCAGGGATAATATTTTATTCTTGGTAAAATTTCATAAGCACATAAACAAAAAGCTTTTGAGGATTAAAAGGACTGCTCATTTATCAAGTGATTTTGTGTTTTTTTTTTTTTTAAAGATCCATTCATTTATGCACACAAGAGCTGGGGCACAGACCAGAGGTGTCGGGGGAGGGGTGAAAGGATTCACCAGAGACAGAGTGGGGAACAGAACAGGCAGATTGACTGAAATACACTGCTGAGGAGAGCAGCGGGTGAGACAGGAGAAGTCTGCTGCGCCATGTGGGGTGCTCTCCGGTGGGGGATTGAACTCATGCTGCAGAGGCTGCAGACAGCTTCACAGTGCTCTGCTTAACCCCTTGAGCCACCAAGGAGGCCCTCAATTGATTTCGTTTTGAAGTAGCTTCCTTTATTGTAAAACTTAAGCAGAGCCCTAGAACCCAGTATGGATGAATAAAGAGATGTGATACTGTTTTGATTAGGATAGCCTTCACTGAGAAAGTCATAAATTGTGAATTTTAAAAAATATTTTCATTAAATACTGCTTGGAGAAATAGTGTAAGTAAAACCAATGACCATTAACTAGATACAAAAAGGATAAAAAAATTATTCCACTGAATATTATCATTATATGTCAACAGATTCCATCTTAGTTTCCTTTCATCAAACCTTAATAATTGCTTCTCATTATTATTATTATTGTTTTTATTAATAATATAATAATTGCTTTTTCTAGGTCTCCTTTAATCTACTGCTTCACTTAACTACTGGGAACAGACAAGTGGACAAAGTGAAAATTGGGGGTGAACTAGACTCTTTTCTCATCTGTGCATAACCAGGAGGGCAATGCAACATGAGAAACCCTATTTCCTGTGTGGGGAGCAGCATCACCTCCCAGGAACTACATAAACACCCTTCCAGTTTCTCGGAGACACTGAGCTCCCTGCTGAAGGCACAACTGCACACACGTGTCAGGGCACACACGCCCCATGGTGCCCTCCAGCCTGCTGTGGGCCCTGGTGGCCTTCACCTGCTCTGGTAGGCCCGGGGCCAGGTGTGGGGTGGGGAGGATGGAAGGACAGCACCAGACACATGGTCCAGGCACATGGTGCTTGGTGTGGATGAGGGGGAAGGGAGCACTGGGAAAAAGCAGGCATGTGATGATTTCAATGTGCTTTATCTTTGGGCACAACATTAGTCTAATTCTTACAATATTTTATTCACTGCATCAGCTGTGTTTTTTTGATTCTCCCCACAGGATCCAGTGTGGCCCAGAAAGTTACTCAAGACCAGGAAAGTGTATCCACCAGAGAGGGGTCAGTAGTCACGTTGAGGTACCGGTATGAAACAAGCCTGAGTGGCTACAATCTTTATTGGTACAAGCAGCTTTCTGATGGGAAGATCACTTTCCTTATTTATCAGCATTCTTCTGCCACCAATGCAGAACAAGGTCGCTATTCTATAAACTTCCAGAAAGCAGACAAATCCATCTCTCTCACAATTAAATCCTTACAACTGGATGATATAGCCAAGTACTTCTGTGCTCTCCTGGACCCCACTGTGTTTGAGGTGATAGTAAAAGCTGAACAAAAACCCAGATCTCAAGAGGGGGAGGGCCCTGCCAGAGCTGAGCTGAAATCACCCCTACTCTTCCCAGACAGGCCATGGCGGAGACTGTTGTCACTTCTTTTGTGGTCTGGACTGGGGGCGACCTCTGAGTAAAACTTCCTTTTATTTTTATTTGGAAACAGGTGTCCAGAGTAACTTTCTTCTAATACATTCTCAGTCCTGACTTTTTCACTTAAAGTCAACAATACAGAGTATCTGCACAGTTGCCAAATATTGAAAATCTTGCCACATACTCATTTCAAATGGCAGCTGCACTTAAAGATGCTAAAATCGCAAGCTGGCTCCAGTCATCTGGACCATCATGAATATCATTTCTACAGCTCTTTCCTCTTAGACTTTGTGTGGCGTAATATATAGTCAGAGAAGTTCCAGTGTGAGTGATGTACAATAAAAGATTAATTACAAGGATTCGACCTCATGCCATTGTTGGAAAAGGTAGAGGAATCTGTGCAAAGCTGTTGTGTCTGCATTGGCTACAGTGTTTGAATTTGTGATAAATCAGTTGGTTTAACATTTGCAAGGAAACTGGGATGTGGACAAAAGCGTGGACAAACTGAGCTGTTCCAGACAGTCAAACTACAGCTTGTCTCTCTCACCTCTTCAGTCTCATGGGCTGGGCACTTTCAGGGAAAGTGGGTATCACTCGCATCCTGCTATATGCAGACCTGGCCCAAGACAGAGAGAAGCTGAGAGAGGAGACCTGGTGAGGGAGGTGCTGTGAGTCAGCAATAAGATGAGGGGCAGAGCAGGAGCAACATGTGTGAGTTGCCACCATGCCTGGAGCCTGCACCAGCCTGCAGAAGACAAAACATGGCTGCTCCAGATCTTGCACAAGTCTAACCTGAAAAAAAAAAAAATACAAGAAAGCAAATTCCTGGAACTATATCCCCAGAAAGTTAAGACAAAGTTATCACAGTGCCCTGTGAAAAACAAAAAGTATGAAGTTCATCCATCTGTTGGTAAAGTTCTTTGCTCTTCATGCTCAGTCACCGTCTCCCACTGACATCTGTAGTTTAACACTGTGTTGACTTCATGATTAAGGGAAATAATTAACAAATATGATTAATTTTAATTAGCAAATCTTAAAAAATTGTTTATAGACAGAATGGAAAAGTGAGGAAAAATTATACATATAAATAAATTTATGTAAAAATTGAGTTTTCTGACTATTTTTGCATATGGTCATGTGATTTATCTGGTCTTTATAACTCCTTTTTCCATAACGCATAGTATTATCTAATGCACATAGAAGCACCTCCACTCACTGATATACCTGACTTGTATAGAAAACAAGCTCCTTATTCAGGAGGAATGCTATGAAACTGAATAAGGAATTCTGCAAATCTATCTCTGTGGTTCTGGAAAAGTATTTCAGACACAGAGCGCAAATCCATATTCAAGTGTGTATTTCAGTGGGGGTTATCTGTTCAGCATCCAACAGACTCTTTTCTCATCTGTGCCTGGGTGGACAATGCAACATGAGAAACACTTTTCCTGTGTGGGGAGCAACATCGCCCCCAGGAACTACATAAACGCTTTTCCAGGTTCTCAGAGACACTGAACTCTCAGCTGGAGGCACAACTGCACACGCATGTCAGGGCACATATGCCCCATGGCGCCCTCCAGCCTGCTGTGGGCCCTGGTGGCCTTCACCTGCTCTGGTAGGCCCGGGGCCAAGCGGGGGTGGGAGGATGGGAGGACAGTACCGGGCACAAGGTGCTTGCATGGATGAGGGGGAAGGAGGCCTGGGGAAAGCAGCATGTCATGATTTCAATATGTATTATTTATATCTGGGCAAAAAATTAATTTAATTCTTACAACATTTTAGTCACTGCATCGGCTGTGTTTTCTGATTCTCCCCACAGGCTCTAGTGTGGCCCAGAGAGTTATTCAAGACCAGCCAGATATAGCCACACAAGAGGGGTCAGTAGTAGTCACCCTGAAGTGCCAATATGAAACAAGTTTAAGCTACTACTATCTTTATTGGTACAAGCAGCTTCCTGATGGAAAGATCACTCTCCTTATATCTCAGCATTCTTCTGACAGCAATGCAGTAAAGGATTGCTATTCTATAAACTTCCAGAAAGCAGACAAATCCATCTACCTCAACATTGTACACTTACGACTGGAAGATTCAGGAAAGTATCTCTGTGCTCTCTGGGAAAGCACTGTGTTCGAAGTGATAGGAAAAGCTGAACAAAAACCCCAGAGGTGAATAAGAGAGAGAGCCCTGTTCAGGAGCCAAGCAACAAAAAACAAAAACAACAACAACAAAAAAAAACACAGGCACCTGCACATCCCAGATAGATGGTGGCAATAACTCTGGTTGTTTCTTTTGTGGTGGATCAGGGAGTAACTTCTGAGTAAAACCTCCTTCTTTGTGTTTGGAAACTGGTGTCCAGGTAACTTTCTTCTAATAAATTTCCAGTCCTGAATTTTTCACTTAATAGCAATCATATGGAACATGTGTGTAGTTGCCTAATACTGGGAAACTGCCCCATACTCATTTCTAGTGGCAGCTGCACTTAAAGATGCTCACACCACAAGCTGGGCTAATCATCTGGAATCATCATGACAATCATTTCCTTAGCCCTTTCCTCTTAGACTTTGTGTCAATTAGATTAGATGTAATCAGAGAAGCAGAACCACCATGTGGGATGTACAATAAGAGATTAATTACAAGGATTCAACTTCATGCCATTGCTGCAGCTGGTAGAGGAATCTATTGCTAAGCTATTGTGTTTGCATTGGCTATAGATCCTGAATTTGCTATAAATCAGTTAGATTAACATTTGTAAGGAAAACTGGATGCAGATAAAAGAATGGACCAATTCATCTGTTTGTTTTCATACTAGAATCCATGAGGACCACTAGAACTGAGAAAAGCGAACTAAACTCTACTCTCACATCCTCAATCTCATGGGGTTGGTACCTTCAGGAGAAGTGGGTATCACTTGTATCCTGCTACATGCAAGAGATCTTGCACTAAATCTCTTTGTAGGTTAACTGACCCAAAATATAAGAAATCAACTTCTAGGAAATAAATTTCCAGAAAATTAAGTTGAGACACTACAAATTTAGAACAGTGCCTTGACAAAAGCAAGTTATCCCTCCCCCAAAAGAGGGTGAAGTTCATTGATCCATATTTGAGCTAAGTTCTTAGTTTTTATTGCTGATTCAGTATCTGCCATTCATATCCTGCAGTTTAGCCATTGTGTTATCTTTATGATTAACTAAAATGATTAATATGATTAACTTTTATAGCATATATCAAGCTACTGCATATCTGCAAATTGAAATAAGAGTAAAAGTGGTTACTATATTTGTATTGATTGATTGATTCAATATAAAAAGTAATTTTGTAACTATTTCTCCAAATGGTCCTGTGATTGTTCTCAAAAATACAATTTTGTAACTATTTCTCCAAATGGTCCTGTGATTGTTCTCAAAAATACAACTACAAGAACCCTGCTCCCCTCCCCCGCACACAGAGGCGGCACTCTCCGACCGGCAGAGAGGAGGGAAACAACAAACCAAAACGGCCAACAAAAACAAACAAGGCAGCAAGCGGGACTGTGAGTGGAAAGGAACTATTGCAGCCAGCACACCCCGTGAACGGGAGCTGAGGCGAACCCTGCAGGATCCGCCGCGGCGGTGAGCGAACGGCTCCGGGCGCCATTAGAGAAGAACAAAGACCCCGGGAGACGCGCACACAGCCCGGGCTGCCGGTAAGCTGGCGCGGAAACGCGGCGCGCTAGGGGAGCTTGAAAAGCAAGTGCAGACCTGGATCGCGGCTGCCCAGGTCCCCGCGCCTGCGACCTAGGCTTGCGGGGAGACGACCTAGGCTTGCGGGGAGACGCGCGGAGGTCCTCACTGAGGTGAAGGTCCCTCCCTGAGTGAGCAGGAACCAGGCGCCCAGGCACGGGAGCGGTGCAAAAGGCGCCATTCCCGCGCCACTGAACTGGGCTACAGCCCGCGTCCTGGAACTGAGGGCTTTGAACTGAGACCCGGGGCACGAAAATTCGGGGCGTGGGTTCTCCACGACGGTGGGGCACAAGGCAGACACAGCACCCCAAAGCTGTTGAGGTGTACCCTACCATTCCCGCTCTGTTCTCTGTCCCACGGGGTGGGGGGAGGTGAAAAACAGCCCCCCAAGGACAATAGGAGAGATCTCTGGCGCCACCTAGCGACCAGGAAAAAAAAGTCACTAAAACCCTATAAAACAGGACATTTCTTAAGACTGCTTGAAAAGGGCAGAAGGTTTCTGGAGGACCCAGTGGCCAGCCGGGAAGTTATTCCACGCCAGGCCCCTTCCGACCAGCAGTCTGAGCCCACAGAGGGAGCAGGCACCCACGTCCGGGGCAGACCGGGTGCGCAGAAGAGTGTGCCTGAAACCGGAGGCGCAGGGTCTGCATCCCGCTTCGCCATTTGAGAACAGGGACATTTCTTCAGTAAAAACTGCCTAAAACCAGCAGAAAGCTCCCCCAGAAGACAGAGATGGCTCCTGGAAGAGCCAGAGGGGAGCGGAGAAGTTCACCCAAGATGTCAGTCAGTCCGAGCAACACAGTGTCCCAACGCATACGACAAATTAGAAAACAGACAGTAGGGAGTAGAAGAACCACACGCAACCTAAAAACTCCTCAGGAAAGAAGCACACCACAAAAAGAAAACCACTCCCCAGATTGCAACGACAGCAACTTGGAAGAACTTCTGAGCCTTCCAGAAAGAGAATTTAAAATTGCCATGATTAAAAAAGTGATAGATCAGAAGAAGGAAATTGAGTCCCTAAAGAGGGAAGTAAGAGAAATGCAGGAGATCAAAGAATTAATGGAGGAACTAAAGAACTCTGGGAAAAGCAATGAAAGCAGAATAGATGAAATGGAAGAACGAATAAGTAATCTTGAAGACACAGAAATAAAAAGAACCAAAACAGAAAAGGAAAGAGAAGTACGAAGGAAAAAGAATGAAGAAAGACTTCGGGAACTATCTGACTCCATGAGGAAAGGAAATATAAGAGTTATAGGAATTCCAGAAGGAGAGGAGAGAGATGTAGGAACAGAGAAAATATTCATGGATATAATTGAAGAGAACTTCCCAAATGCGAAGAAGGAGCTGAAAATTGATATACAAGAAGCAAGAAGAACACCAAACTTCCACGACGAAAGGAAAAACACAGCAAGACACATAATAGTAAAGCTCCCAAGAATCCAGGACAAGGAAAAAATAATGAAGCTGGCAAGAGGGAAGAAACAGATAACATTCAAAGGAAAACCAATCAGGCTGACATCAGACTTCTCTGAAGAAACACTACGGGCAAGGAGAGAGTGGAGGGACATAGTCAACAGACTCCAAGAAAACAGATGCCAACCAAGAATACTCTATCCCGCAAAGCTCTCTTTCCTCCATGAAGAAAGAATATGGACCTTCCCAGACAAAGAGAAACTCCGGAATTTCATTGCGACTAAACCCCCACTCCAAAAAATACTACAAGGAATCCTAAAGCCAGAACCTCAGAGGGACGAATAACAACGAAAGAAGACCAAAAAAAAAAAAAAAGTTATTAAAAGAATAAATAAATAAAATCAAAGGAAAGACAAACATAATGGCAAATACAGATGCTAACATATCAATATTAACTCTAAATGTAAATGGACTAAACTCTTCAATAAAAAGACACAGAGTTGCAGCCTGGATTAAGAAACAAAACCCAACCTTTTGCTGTCTCCAGGAAACACATTTAGCTACAAAAGATAAAAATAGGCTCAAAGTCAAAGGATGGAAAACAATCCTACAAGCAAATGGGCCAAAAAAGAAAGCAGGAACAGCTATACTTATATCAGATAAAACAGACTTCAAACTCAAAAAAATAAAAAGAGACCCCAATGGTCACTACATTATGATTAAGGGGACAATACTTCAAGAAGAAATAACACTCATTAACATATACTCACCAAACGAAAGAGCACCAAAATATATCAGAAAACTGTTGTCCTCTCTGAAAACAGACATCAGAGAAAACACATATGTAGTGGGAGACTTCAACACACCACTATCAACAATGGATAGATCAACAAGACAAAAAATAAGTAAAGAAACTAAAGCTCTAAATAAGGACCTAGAGCATTTGGGCTTAACAGACATCTATAGAACACTAAACCCAAAAAAAACGGAGTACACATTTTTCTCAAGCACACACGGATCATTCTCCAGGATCGATCACATACTGGGGCACAAGACAAACATCAACAGATACACCAAGATTGAAATCATACCAACCATCTTTTCTGACCACGAAGGCATCAAACTAGAAATAAATCATAAAAAGAAGGCAAGGAACTATCCTACCTCATGGAGATTAAAAGCCACACTACTATGGGCCTCCCTGGTGGCGCAGCGGTTGAGCGCTGGGTTGCGAAGCTGCCCGCAGCCTCAGCGGCGCCGGTTCGATCCCCGACTGCTCCCCAGCCACCGGAGGAGGGTCCCACATGGCGCGCAGACCTCTCCTGCCGCCCGCTGCTCCCCTCAGCAGTGTACTTCGGTCCTTCTGCCTGCTCTGCTCCCTGCTCTGGCTCTGGTGAATTCTCTCACCCTCCCGCGCTTCTGACTGTACCCAGTGCATGTACAAACAAACAAACAAATAAATAAAAAAAAAAAAATATACATGCCTCTTTAAAAAAAAAAAAAAAAAAAAAAAAAAAAAAAGCCACACTACTGGAAGACCACTGGACTAACGAGGAGATCAAAGAAGAAATTAAAAATTCTTTGAATTGAATGACAAGGAGGACACCAATATCCTAAATGTATGGGATGCAGCAAAAGCAGTAATAAGAGGAAAATATATAGCAATAGAAGCTCACATCAAAAAACAAGAAAGAATTCAAAGAAACAACCTAATCTCAAAGCTCAAAGATCTAGAAAAAGAACAACAAAAAAACCCCAGAACCAGTAGAAGAAAAGAAATAATAAAAACCAAAGCAGAAATAAATGAAATTGAAACTAAAAAAACAATCCAAAAGATCAATGAAACCAAGAGCTGGTTCTTTGAAAAAATAAATAAAATAGACAAACCCCTAGCCAGGCTCACAAAGGAAAAAAGGGAGAAAGCACAAATACACAGAATCATAAATGAAAGAGGAGAAATCACAACGGACACAGCAGAAATCAAAAGAATAATCAGTAACTACTATGAACAGTTATATGGAAACAAGTTCAACA